ATATACATTGCCTACCTGACGAATATGTACAACAAATCACTGCTGTAATATGATATATTCTAGTTCAAAGTCATTCAGTTAATAAGGTCAGATATACTAAAGTGTATACAGATCGTTTTGGCGAATATGTAGCCTCGTAAAATAAAGCATTAATTATTATTATTATTATTATAATAATTAATTATTATTATCATTATCATCATTATTGTTATAATTATTATTATTATCAGTATTATTATTATTATTATTATTATCATTATTATTATTATTATTATTATTATTATTATTATTATTATTATTATTATTATTACTATTATTATTATTATTATTAAGTACTTTTAAAACGTACACCTGTATTAAAATAAGACGTAAACGAAATTCAATAAAAAACATTTAATGAATTATACATGTATCAGTTCTATCCCATGGCCTAAAATAATTTGACGAGAGCTGTCTATAAGTGACAAATTTAAATTAATTAAAGACAGTGAAACTTTGCCGAGACCTACTTTAAAAATCTTTATCTGACAAATATGGTATAGGCAATATTTACAACTGGGACATTATTATAAACAAAGTAAACTATGTTCGTTAAATTATTATCCATTACCCAAACATATGCGGGTGTAATCGGACTTTGTCGTTATGAGGTAACTGTTGTTTGTTTAAATCCAAAAATGTTTTGTATTTATATGCAATAATGGGACAAAAACAACAAGAACATATTGTATAGTATTTTTATCATTTCTTTATTTGGCAATACACTTACATATGATAATGAAAATGCAAATATACGTTCAGCATCCTTTGTAAGTCATTGCTCGGTTTATAGGATCCTGAACAGGTGAAGGGGGCATTGAGAATACCGGACCGCTGAGAAAACCGGACAAAACCCTCGGTCCGAAAGCCGTCCGGTTTTCTCAACTTTCACTGTATATTATTTTATTTTTATAACACATAATAGTTAAAGGTATTCAAAGATGTTTAACAGTGAGAATAAACATGACTATCAAATAACATCAGATAGATTTAATTACATTAAATTTCACTTTTGAGCAGCTTACGGGTCTAGTCTGCATGTTGTTTTTTTATTCTGGAGTCCTTGAATGACCATTGACATTCCTGTTGGTACCCGAAAGGACTTGGTAATGTGTTGTAGACAAATAATGACAGACGCAATGACATCACACATTACTGTCAACTTCTTTTCGGTCGTTTTGGGGGAAGCTGATGAACGACAAAATGGTTTGTATTTTCTTGATAAGTACACCCAGCTGTATCAGTTGTGTTGTGTATATATATATATATACAAGTTCTGATCATTCGGAATAACTTTAATCTATGAGGCATGTATTTCTAACAAAATCAATTGACAATACTAAGTGATTAATTCATCAAGTATATCACAAAATGAATTATGCATTGTAAGCATTATATTCGTATTAATAAAAACGTTAATTACTTAAGTCTTATGTTTGATTACTGTGTGTAATTCTATTGCAGCCAAGCGCCGTTATGGAAACTATTTGACAGTGTAGAAAAAAAATTCAGTAACCGTGAAAAGAGTTGCATTCATTCTTCATTCAATCAAAATGTGTTGGTGTCTAAACAACCGCAATGACTAGGTTGACACGATGGTGTATGACTATAATGATATAATAAATGTTTTTGTTCCAAAACATGCGTTGATAAAGTCATTAAGTATATTAATGCAATTGTGCCATCATCACCATGCTTTATTTTCTTTATTTAGAGTCATTAACTAACTTACATTGTAATGTTCCGTTTCTTATCTCAATATTGTGTAAAAGAAATTACAGTTTATGTATAAGACTTATGGTGTTAGACGCTCAATGCAGAATATATTTCATTTTCAGTGACGACACAGAGTTTCAATAGGGCGTAGATTCAAACCTCAGAAAAGGCATTTTTTTTCTTCATTTATTTTTACTTTCTGTTTGGCCAGATTTTGAATAATTTTCTTATTTTTTTATATAAAATCTGAAAAATTAAAGTTTTATTTATTGTGCGAAATTGGATAGGGTAACAACTTAAAATGATTATAATTTAAAATCGGCATGGTTAACTTCCTTTATATATTTCACAAATGTTTAGATTTGTATAGATATAATCATTATTAAATAATATGTTGATGCCCCTAATTTATATCACAAATCTAACAGGTTTTCGAACCCCACCCTCTACTCATTTGATGTAAAAAAAACAATTGCATGTCTCAATAAACCAATTAAATCTTTTCCATAGACATTTGCCATTGGTTTTATTTGAAGTTATTTAAAAGCTATGGTTCTTTATTAGTGATTTTAACTAAGCAAAATATGAATCTAGCAAAACTTTTTCTTCAGATAATGAAAACGTATTCTTTATTGTTGTTGTTATAATTGTTGTATAAAATGATACAAAAGTTATATTTCAATTGTCAAAATTTTTCAAACAAGAAGGTAAACTTTTGTAATTTTTTCTTTTCATGTCCAAAATATAATACAGTTCATCAATTCTAAGTTTGAAATGCTTTTTGAAAATGTGTTAATTATAAATCTAATACCTTTAACTGATATTCACAATGCTTATGCAAGGTCATATTTCTAGAACTGCACTTGCACACAGAGACAGTGATCAATGATCTCATAAAATTTTCAATGAGAGTGAAGATTAATATAACTAGTAAATTATCACTAAAATGAACATTACAATTTGTGATTGTTGTGTTAATTGTCCCAGTTTTAGAAGTGGGAACATCATTTATTTTAATATCTAAACAGTTTACGGTACCTGCAATTATAAACAGCAATTATTAGTTAAAAAACAGAATCTGTTTTCCCTAAATAATGTGCAAGATCGATTTAATGTTTATCACAAACCCGAAAAATATGCGTAGAATTATATGACATTAAATAAAAGACCAATTGAATTCATTAAATAAAAACACAAATACATGTATATACAAATGCTATTGATTTTAGTGTATTAAATGTAAAGAAAACACTTTCACAAATAGTTTATCAAATTCTCAATTATTTCATCCCTAACGTTACCGTTTTCCCATTTTGTTTTTGAATGCACATTTAACATTTCGAACAAGTGTTATTTTTCAGGTTGGTCTTGTCTGAAAACGTTGTTTTGTTTTTGCGCTCGTATAACGGATTAAACCAGACATTGATGAAGTATCAGTCTAAAAATAATGGACATTTGCGTCCTAAGCCTATACCAAAACAAAACATTAATGTTGATTAATTAAATAAGGCCAGTATGATGTTGTATCAGATTGCGTAAGCAAGTAATCTTTCTACTTTATTTTTGTTTGTACTCTTAAATGGGAGCCTGGTGAACTATGACAATTTATCAATACTACATTAATAATTGCAGCCGTGTGTTTAGCATAATCTCTTATCAATGATGCCCAGATCTCTTAAAGATAATCTCATAACCCTTAGAAAAAGACAGGCATATATGTGGAATTAATATAGAAAGCATTATCGACAAAACTGCTGTATATATTGGATGGCATACATTTGTACTTATAAATCATTCAAATCAGCTGTGGTGTTTTTTGATTGGTTTGTGATAGTATGCAGCTATTCAATTTTCTTAAGTATAAACTAAGAAAACATTTTCCCCGGGACAAATGCCTATATTACTTTGCATTCTGGTCATGTTTTAAAATAAATTTTCATATGTTTTTAAAATCTAAAATTTCATACGTTTCACACGCTAATTTGGTTTTTTTCTCTGAAAAAAAAAAAAAACAAACAAAAAAAAACAAAAAGAAAAAAAAAAAAAACAAATTAAAAACAACAATATAGTTTTAGAAAAAAAAATTAAAATATTATTTTCAAGGACTTTCTGACTTTCACAAATTATAAGGAATATGTTTTGTAAGAGGAAAAATATTTTGGTAAATGAAAATAAAATTGTGACATAACAAATACTGAGAAGCTGTAACCTTGATAATCATTTCAATTTTAGGACTTATTTTGTGGAAAGGGACATACGCCTGTAAAGAAACAAGAATGTCAATATATTAAGAAATTTATATATAAAATACACAGTGTTTATAGCAATGACAAATACGAGAATGTTTAGTCATTTCCGGTAATGTGCGTATTAAAGTTTAAGATATGTGAGCAGATAAACGTACAAAAGACTACTTTGCATGTTTATTTGAACAAAAACAACACGCTCATATATATATAAATTTATATGTAAGCTGATTATTTTTTTTATATAAAAACTAGTTTCTATAGGCCATTGCTATAATATCCAATTGATCGAATGGTTGTTAATGGAAAATGCTTATTTCAATGTCTTCAATATATCCGTGAACCGGTCTGGAAGTGAATCAAAGAGACGTATTGGTAATTTTAACACGGAAGTGCATCAATTTACTTGACATTTTGGACAACATTGCCAGCGAATGCATTCTTGTCTAAAGATAGATTCACTTTATATTGACGGTTCTTTCTGGCGCATATCTTTGTATATTAGATTTGTAAAACTTAATCAATAACAGTGAAACATGAAAAGTGACATCAGTGCTGTATTTTTTGGATATTTTAGTTTTGCTTTAAGTTCTTGACTTATGTTTCACTCAATGTATTCTTACATAACCAGTCCTGTATAATTGTGTATTTCCATACGTCAGCAACAAAATTAGCAAATTATAACATGTATATACTTATCCTCATGAAATCTTTACAATGGCCTTTTAATTTTAACAGTATCATTTAAATAGGTTTGCTGTTTTCTGCAAAGTCACAATTTTGTCGAAAAATTGTGTTTCTTTGATGTTTTTTGGTTTATTTGTTTTTTGTCTTTTTTTGCGTCCCACGGAGCGAAAAAAACGACCAGGCACAAATCAGCCATCTAAAGTTTTTAACTTAGATCCTTAGATTTAAAGATTATATTTATACCGTATAATAAAAGTATAGTTTTGCCAAATGTTATTCAAATTACAATACAAGAAAGAAAGCGAATCTTACCTTGACTGGTACACAAACAAGTAGAAGTAGAAGATCAGCAGAGGCTAGACTAAGTAGAAATGTGTTTGTTATTGTCATCATTTGCTCGTAACGACTGACAGAAAATATGACCAGAACATTTCCAGCGATTCCCAGCAGCAATGTCGAGCCATATGCTAGTGATACCGGAACAAGTTCCTCAATTGGAGGGCTGTTGATTATTTCATAATCATATACCGGTGTTGTCGTTATGTTTATGCTTCCTGTGGTATTTACTATCCCAGTTAAAATGTCTGTTTCCATTTCCAAATTTATCAGATCAAACGCTTTATATCACTAGAACAAATATCTGTCAAAGTAGTGATTGGAACATTTCATGTTTTTTTCTTGAAAATACCGTTGTTGTTTTAAAGGAATATACTATGTTTATTTGAACACAAGTAATTGCCCACTTGGTAGAAAGATAACTGCAAATGTATGAAGTATTAAATCAGAGCTATTTAATAGTATGTTTATCAAACGCTTCTTTAAGTAATCTCTTTAAAAAAATATCATAAAAAGTACCGATGAACACGAAAACATTGCAAATAAGAACACACTGTTTGTATAAAAGGCTGTCTTTTATTTCTTGTCATGTGTCTTTATTTGTGATTATATATGCACGATTTTGAATGTTTATTTAACCGTTTTAAATCATGATTTATTTATTGAATGATAAGGGTAATCTAGTCATCATTAATTGTGTAAAGAATATGAATTCAAAGCAAACTTCACTCTAAACTGAAACAACAGTGACATTTTTTTTCTCAAATTTTAACCATAATTGCAATTAAAATTTATGCCAAATTTCAGACTAAAATATGAAGTATCTCATGTAACAGTCAAATGAATGAATGAATGAATGAATGAATGAATGAATGAATGAATAAATGAATGAATAAATGAATGAATGAATGAAACATAGTTCCGCATACGTATTTTATAATTGTTGTATGTAGTTACGTTGTATTAAAAATTAAGCAATCATTTTAAAGACATTTTCTACAGTTTTATGAAAATTAATCCTTTCATAGAATTTTCTAAATTTTTTGTATGATAAGTAAAATTTAATGGCGAATTCAAAAATAAAAAGAAAAATATATGTTGACGTGTTGGATTTCTTGTAAAATGGCAGTTTCCATGGTAACAGTATATCTCAAAACTGTCAAAATAGCCAAACTGTGTTATAACAAATAGAAAATGTATAAGATAGCTAAATACACACAACAAGCATTGTTTTATGCAAAGATAACCTTATCCAATGATTCTGTATGAAACAAATGATAATCTGAACATATTTCTTTAAAAAATGAGTTTTCCATGTTCCTTAACCGAACAAAAAATGAAAAAAATAAACATGAATTCTGTGAATAATTAAAGATATTGAAAAATTTCTTTCATAGGATTTTCTATTTTTTTTTGTATGTTGTGTAAAATTAAATGACGAATTCAAAAAGAAAAAGAAAAATATATGTTGACGTGTTGGATTTTTTGAAAAATGGCAGTTTCCATGGTAACCGTATACCTCAAAATTGTCAAAATAGCCAAACTGTGTTATAAAAATGTATAAAACAGCTTATTACACATACAATAAACATAATTTTATACAAAGCTTGCTTTATCTTAGGGTTCTGTATAAAACAAACGATAATTGGAACATATTTCTTTAAAAAATGAGTTTTTCATGCTTTTTAACTAAACAAAAAATGAGAAAAATAAACATGAATTCTGTAAAAATTAAAGCTATCAAGAAATTTCTTTCATAGAATTTTCTACATTATTGATATATCAAGTAACATTTAATGGTGGATTCAAAAATAGAAATAAAAACATATGTTGACGTGTTAGTTTTTTGTAAACGGGCAGTTTCCATGGTTACCGTATATGCCAACTGTCAAAATTTCTTAAGAAATATCAGTGTTATACTAAATGTATTGTCAAATATACAACAAAAACATGTTGTAATAAAAATTTCTTTTTCTTATGATGTTATATTAAGTAAATGATACTGAATATGTTTTTAAAACATTTTAAGGGCCATATTATTTTTTCACTCTACTTACATACCCGAACAGTAAGCAAGTATTCAGAAATTTACAAAGAAAATAATGAAATTCGGAACATTTCTTAGATATTAATTTTGTTTTTTATTCAACACTTTTAAAATATATCATTTTAAACTTCTTTGCCCAGTTGTCTGCCAGTAATCAAGTGGCGACGCACTTTCGTCACTATACCACAAGTGGGTGGGGTAACGCGCGCAGAATCATTATCAATGATGTCGTACTAGTGCTAGGAGAAATCTTTTATCTGATGTTGTCTAAACGACCTCTTATTCTTTTGAACCGATCTCCTCCTGAACATTTAGAAATATCTACTCTGTATTTTTTACTCATTATTTGCTTATAGTCGAAATTTAAACACTTATCCGAATATTATTCAACTTGACCCTCTTTTTGGAGAGTAATTATCCGTGATTATCTTTCTTGGAAGCGCATAACGATGCACACAGAAAACTACAGAAAACGTCTTTAACATATTTTTCTCTCTATAGTCATTTATTTAATGTTTGGATGTTATGATAACTGCAAGCATCTAACGAGGAGTTAAAGTTTTTACCCATCATATACAAGTAAAAACCAAATAAATATCAGGCATCCCTGACAATAAAGTGTATTTTTCAAGGTAGGATACTGTATCTCAGTTAGGATTGCAATATCTTATATTAGTTTTAGAAAATTATAAATTGTCATATCGAATACAATCATGCATCTACATTATAAGATACTATTACACGTTATGAAAATATATACGAAACTGCTATCAAAGAGGAAGAAATCAAAGAAAATTTGCATAAGCAAAACAAGTCAACATTTTGGGATTCTTAACTCCGTTTCTTTAACTCATTTAAATGAAATTTATTGCCGGTTTAACGATATTCCCTTCAATTTAACCTGGAAGCACAACAAATGCTATTTAAATTGAATTGTCCTTTAACAATAGCAGATGAAACTTAGACTTTCCGTTCTTTATAATCAAACAATTGCTTTCAATATAAAATCAAATCTAATTTTTTTATTCTAATTTGAGCTTTTTACACACGATGAATTGAAAAGATGGCATATCCATCTAATCATTTTTTTCAACTCAGAATCATTTCAATGTTAAGAAATCTTGTATATTTTACTTGCATCACGCCATTTGGGTGGAGGTATTTTGATCAAAAGAATTTGAAAAATTTATTTCGTATTTGTTTGTTTGTAGTGGAATTCAGTAATGAAATTCAGTTATATACCAAGCTTTTTAAACCTGCTGTACAATTATATTTTTATATTGTAGTTCTAAAAACTACTTTTAATGTTTATTATTTCATGAAAATAAAAAACACTTTAATTTGAACAACATCTCTGTTCGAATTGCAATGGAATTAAAGCACAAAATTAATGTTCATTCTTTTATAAAATGCAAGATGTTTGTGTCGACATTCTATCTTTGAATTATAAAATTCTGTAATTTATAACTAATATAGACAATATTAAAGTTAATAACATAGTCTGAGTTAAAATATCTTTTAAAAGACATGTCGAAGGATTTATATGTCTCACTTGACATTAATCTTTTAATGGACGAGGTAGTTGTACTTCATCTTGAACAAAACCATTATTTATTTCGTATATTAAGCAAAAATCAAACCTTCGTTCTTACTTTTTTGAAAGAATGACTTAAACCATTAAAGTTATATGCATTATAAAGTATACAATTTCTTGCAAATATACTTTAGTCCTTATAAGATTAATATCAAAGGTGAGAACAAGATTAATAGCATGTCTATCAATTTATTTCTTTAAATGAATTTGTTTTTGAATTGTGTGATTATTATTGCCTTATATAAAAGAAATCTAAATATGACATACAATAAAAATTATTTAGTCCTTAATTCTTATGCATACGTAAGTCACTATTATTCTACCCTCGTCTGTGCACAAAACACAAATCTAACGTCACAAATATCATAACAATAGGTTATTGGGCTTTATTCCTTCAATTAAAAATTGAGAAATAAACCAATTATTGCTTGTTTCGAAAATGTTTTATTAACTTAAATAGTTCATTTGCATTTTTCGGTTGATTTCAATTATTTTACTTCAAGATGAGTACTTTTTCATTTATGTTCTTCACTGTGATCGAATAAATCAGTCAGATAATTTCCCTCCATCTGTGATGTTTTATCTTCATTATATGTATCTAATTTTATTGTTTAAACATACTCAGGTTCTATTAAAAATACATTTCTACAAGCAAATTGCTTTTATGTCATTAACAGCTTATTAACTTTCAAGAAAAGCAATAATGATGTAATTTAAAGTCTCAACTAATTAGAACTTAATGTAAAGTCGTGCAATAAAGGGACACGTAATAGATACATATGTAGACTTATTTTCCTAATGACAAATCAATACCAGCTTTTATTTCTAAAATGAATTTGCATTGTCTTATTAAATTTAAACTTAAGCACATAAAAATGACGTTTCTATGTTTTTGTTTATTTAAGACTATGAAATGAACTTGATTATGGGGAATTTAAGTAGTAATAGTTTGTGTTTGTCCAACATGTATGGTGTTTGCAGCTGAAATTAGATTGTCCCAAAATTAAAAGTGGTTCCGTCATAAGTAAATATACATTTTATACAATTTGATTTTATACAATTAAATATTTCAACAAAATAGACAATTTATACAGCAGAAAAATAAAAGTTTAGTCATTGGTTTGAAATATTGTATTTACCTAAAAATATAAAATAAAAATAAAAAGTTAGTTTTCTTTTTTTCTTAATTTAAATTTTAAATGGATTGTTGAATTCCAATTTGCAATGATAGTTTTAAGTAACGCTCGAATATTAATCCGATCGTTTCTTTGAATTTTTATTTTGTTTTCAAATTTTAAAAGTTAATTACGGAGAATAACAATCTAAAGTATTTACCTTAATGAAGAATATGAATCTTGATATTCTTTTCATAGATTTCAGTGAATTTAAATGTCTTAGTCAAGTAAAATATCAAATTTTATTTTATTTCTATGAACAATTAACATCCAATGATTCACTTTATCCAAGTTTATTTTCTCCAGAATAAACAAATCCTTTCAATATATTTGAATAACAAACTTTCCTTTTTGATATTGTTTTAATATAGAACGTTTTTGCATTATGTTAACAGATATGTCTTCATATATGAGGACGTTTTCGCACACTGACGTCTTGCATGTAATGCCATTCAGATATACATATTTATTGGAGATTTGATACGACCTAGCGCTGAAATAATTTCCGAGACAACGTTTACCATCAGAGCTGTTACTCCGACTAAGCTATTGATTTCAAATATATATCTTGTTCTGATTAACAATTTATTTCTTCGTTACTGAGCACTGTTTTTGTCTCCAGAGAAATGTCTAAAACTAGCCTTGTAAAATGTGTGGCAATATCAAATTACTGACGAGAGCAAATTTTGAAAGATTTTTTATTGCAATTCTTAGTCTAATCAGGTATCTAGTGGTGAATCTGTTATCACATTACATTTAGTATTTCATAACCAAAGAAACATTAAATTATATTTCGCTCACATTACATCGTTAATAAGAGCAACTATATCATTGAGCAATATCACATTCCCAGTTGCATTGCATGTATTGTAAGAGTTGGTAAATGTTTTATGAGAATTGCTTCGCTCCTTCACTTTTGAAGAATATAAGATCTTAAAGGGCCAAACAGAACGTAGAAAGGTAATACTATCTTGACTTGCAATTTAAAACTGGTACAAAATAAGTTGTTATATATGAGTATATCATCATACATTTCTTGAAATTTGAAATTAGTTTATAAAAAGACAATTCAATTACATGTCAAACTTTGTTTTGTATCAAATATTTTTACTTGAATATAACAAAGCGTTTCTTAATAGTACTATATTCACATCAAACACACTAATACATGATGTAACATATCAGATATAATCAATACAGATATAACATTTTATATAAAAAACGAACACTATTTAGATAATTTCATTTTGTCGTAATTCTAAATAATTTGCAATCATAGTGTCTCAATGACTTTTAAACACCAGTTAGATAAAAAAAAAATAAAAACCTAAACGGATTCAAATCTGAAGTTTAAGTAAAAGAAAGAGCACCGAAACTAGAGGCTATCTGATTTGTATGAGGAAGATGCCCCCGAGTAAAAATCAGATTGCCGAGTGTTTTGATATTTTTTCTCTCTTGTGCCATAGGATAAATTAAAATTACGTTCCCTGTCGTCACAATTTTTAACCCCAGAAAAAAGTAACCAATGCACGAGTAGCTGAATATGTTTTTTCTATCGTTATCTCTTTCCCTGTCGTCGCAATAAGTAAACCTCAGAAAAATGAGCCAATCAACGAGCATGCTCTAGACAAACATTGAGTGCCGGTAACTAATACCTGCACTCCAATTAACGCACTATTGGTAAACTATTTAACTCTGACACGTTTTCAGTAGTGAAGTCTGTAAACTATGATACAACTACATAGTTGTATTTTTCAAAATTTTAATGTATTGAGTTTTGCTCTTTAAACCGAGTTTGATATAATTTAGAATGAAAAATTGACCGGCTCAAATCGGTCCCCCCTTTCAAAGTGGTGTAAAGAATGATGCATGTTGTGTGTTTTTTTTTATTGAACGAAATGTCAAGATTTCATACCATGCATTACTCGGTGTATGATAAATAAAGATTGGCCGTTACTTGCAATTTTAACTGGATTAGATCATACTGCGTTTAATTGATGTAATTGGCAGGGTAATTTCCTGGAAATATTGGCAGGTTAATGTTTTAATAGACATTTATTCCATTTAACTTTATCTTTTATCCTAAGTCAGCAGTAGGCCAATTAAACAATAAAGACAGTCATTGCTACATGATCATGTTTGTACTCGTATCTATTGGCACTTCGGTAAATTACATATCTCTGTAAAACATAAGTCATCTTTTATTTATACAAATAATGTAAGTGAAATAAAGATGAGCACCAATCAATAGTCTTATTAGGAAATTGTCATGTTTCTGTGTTTTGTATTTAATGAGGTCTTGGTTTATAAAGTATAAAGAAGTAATACCAACGAATAACCGATGGTGTAAGCTATTGTAGACATAAATTCATTATAAACGCTGCTCATTAGAATGTATCTTAACTTGACATGGTATAAGAATATGATTACAGAAACAGTTAAATGAGAACATTTTAGTGCATAAACCGTAGCTTGTTTCTGAGTTATCTTATCTAAAAAAAATTTTTTCTCTTAGAATGTTTTTGTTTTGATTTTCTAAGGTCTTGGAGTATATTTATTTACTGCATATGTTATTGTAAGAAAACAGTATCATTTGAAGCTGTCTAAGGAATTGTTTATACAATTACATAAAGAGCATTAGCTTATTAACATGAAACAATAAATAACGTTATTCATGTCTTAATTACTCAATCATAAACATTTTGTAAGTAAAAGAAAGTTTACAAACTGATAACATTATTATCGACGACAACATACAAATATACGGGACAAATACACAAACAAATTCCATTGCATCCTATTCAGTTGTATTCTGCTTTGATAGATCAGCAATATGTAGACATTTGTTTGTACAAAAAACACGACATTTTATCTCGAATTCTGTTATACTAAGTCTACTCTGGACATTTTTGTTATTATACATTTTTACAAAACAATTCAAATTAACAAAAAACAAGTCTGATTATTATTGTAATAAATCATTGTTATCATTTATAATATTGCAAATTCAGGTAAATATTCTCGATATCGAAAGTTATTATTCAGTAAGCTTTTAATTCAATTTGTATAGAATCCACCTTAAAACATGTTGTATTAAATGATTATGTCAAATACTTGTACATGAATTATTCTCTGTGCAAACAGCCGGATTCTTTATATCAAAAGCAGTTGCTGAAGTCAGTGTTGTTTTTTCTCCATTTTACCTAGTTCATTTTTCTTACTAAACATGTCCATGGTGTTTTGTCTTGTTGTCTATCAAATCAACGAGTTCATTTGTAGTGCTCGTTATCTGATAACCGCAGGCATCTCATTCATATTGCTCACATGATTTAATTCATTTTTTCTATGTTGTGTATCTCATTAATGCGATGAGGGCTTTGCATCAAAGTAATCCATGCAAATTGTTTATATCTTGTGAGACACTTTTAGTTCTTGACTTCGACTTTTATAATTCTTCTATAAGCGACCTCAAAACCAAAAAAGTAGATTTAATTTACAAAGAAATTATATCTCACAAAATCATAAAACAAAATCATAATGCAAAAATGATTGTATCAAAAGTAATATTCTGATTTGTCTTAAAAAAAGACGAAAATCAAGGTCAGCAGCAATTTAAATTAATACATTTGACCTAATTTGAAAAAAGACGAAATTCCTTTAAATATTGTTTTTATATTGGTATTTAAGCTATCGTTACTTAATATTGCTCGTTAACTTCCTAACTAATTATTTCTATTTGTTAACCATAAATTTCTGTAAAGTACTGTTTCACAATAATTGCAACAACAAATAAACAAAAATTGTCTCCATATACTACTTTGAAAATGTGCCTATTTTAGTTTAAAATTTTTTCAATCAACTTCCAAATTTGTATGTATAAAATCGGAACTGTTTTACATTGTTGTTGTACTAAATTAACATCAAAATTAAATATTATTCCAATTATATTGAACTTTCGTGAATTATTCTTAATATACGGGCATTATCTAATAAATTGTATACCTCAATGATTACTTTTCGATTTGGATTGATGTTCTATTAAATCAAATCATAAAAGAGAAATATTCAATTCATATTAATATAGAAACACCGCGAAATAAGCATGTGTCGCTGTCCAATACAGGGTGTGTTCAAACTGATATATCAGATAAATTCAGTGCAAAGTAGATTGATAATTTTGTTCTATAATATGTTTATTGTTCTACAATTTCAAAAGGAGCGTAAACATTTGAAATAAATTGAAATTTTGAATGGAAATCTTTGTGTTCCTTCAATACATTTTAATGTTATTGAACTAATGCTATGCGTGCAAGACATCTGCATCATAATTCCCATATTTCAAAAATAATTTTATAGATTAGCTTTAATCTGCCATGATGGGAATTTCAAATTCAAAATAAATAAATGGCTGTTTTGTGCAAAAAAAGACACAATGAGAAATTTTGTTCAAGGAGTGTCGTCTTAAGGGAAGTGCAGAGAACATAAGGATGAGGCAATAATCTTGAACAACAACACACTTTATTTATCAAATTATATAGCTAAAAGTAACAAGGTGAAGAGACGATGTTCATATTGTATTTGATAGATATCTGAATAAGGTTAATTAGTCTTAGGCGCATGAAAATATTTGGTATATCCTTTTTAACCGATATATTTGAAGAACAATTGACATTATAATTCTATCATATACACTGCTATATTTTAGAATTAATTTTAGTATGGAATCATTTTATTTAATATATATTTTACCTATAGAGTTGTCTGTTTTTTTTTATAAAAGTCATTTATTCAAACTAATGTTTAAAACATTACTTAAACAAAACTGATTGTTACTAGTTTAGTTTTCTCCTGTACGCATACGTCTAATAACAGAAATAATCAAGACGAATATCTTCATTGATAAGGGGTTTTCTTGTGGTAATGTCTAATGACTAAACCCAAAGTTGAAACGACATCAAATTGATGACCTAATATGCAGTTATACATGTCACGATCAATTAAAGTCAAATAAGATACTCTTTAATTATTGTTTTTGCTAAATAACATAGGTAGTAAATATTAAAATAAATTGAAACTTACATTGTTTCATACATCAAGGGTATATATATTACTAGTATATGGAAGCTGTATGTAACCAACCAAATCTCGTGAAGCGCTTTCGCCGTGTTGGATAATTATAGTTTATCATTATTATCTTATTTTATATTTACAGAATGGTTTTGTAAGTGAATTACATGAAGCCTTTCATCGTTTTAAGTATCTAACTGTATTGGTAATTTATTATGTCATAAAACGGCTTAACTCATTCAAACTAACATTCTGCCAGTTACAGTGTAAATGCAATTAAAAATAAAATTATTGAATTATCGTACCTGGTATTCATTGAATTGATTGTTGATCACAATTTATTTTAAGTTTAAGCATCAGGGTCAATTT